GAAGAGGCCCCCCCCCCCCACCCCGAGCCCCGTGGCACCCCCGTCTTGGTACCTCCCGGCTGTGGCAGGCAGCAGTGGTGCAGGGAAAAGCAGTCGTCGCCGGCCCGCAGGGAGCAGCCCTGCAGGGCAACCCGCAGCTCGCGCACGCTGGGGAAGGACCGGTCCCAGCCCTCCAGCGCGACAGTCCCAGCCTGCAGCTGGATGGGGAACTTCCGCAGGTGCAAGCCCTTCACGCCGGGTGCCTGGAGCAGGTGGCAGCAGGGGTGAGGGCGGTGAGCAGGGGTCCAGGCAGGGAGCACGCCCAGCCCCAGCCCAGGACCCCCGCCCCAGGCCCACCTGGTCGCGCTGGACCACCGTGAGGATAAGGCGGTGGAGGTGGCTGGTGCTCCAGTGGATGAGGTAGAGGCCATCCTCGGGCTGCAGCCTGGCCAGCACAAATGGCTCCCTGGGCGGGTGGGGGCACAAAGGGGCACCATCAGGGCACCTGGGAGCACTGCTTGACCCACACCTGGCAACAAGGACACACAAAACCTGCCCAGCAGGGCACACTCCAGCTGGGATAAATGTCAGACACAGCTTATGTGGTGACACTGTGTCTGAACACACACACGCAGGTAACCCTGTCCCATGCATGAAAACACACACAAGTACCGGAACAGGCACATGCTCATGCGTAACAACTGTGGACACCGTGGCCAACAAGATCACACACACACACACACACACACACACACACACACACACACACAAAACAGCACACACACACACACACACACACACACAGCAAACAGCCATGAGATGCCAAGTGGGCACACACCCAGCCATAGACACTGCCACTCCCAGGGTGACACACAATGCACAGTCTGTCACACACCGAAAGGAAAAGATCACAGACAGAGGACTTCCCTGCTGGTCCAGTGGTTAAGACCACGCTTCCACTGCAGGGGGCACAGGTTCAATCCCTGGTGGGGGAACTAAGATCCCACATGCTGCACAGTGCAGCCGAAAAAAAAAAAGAAAAAAAAAGTATGAAAGATCGCAGACACAGTCGCTGTGTAACATAACAGCACAGGGGCACTGGCATCCCAGACCCAGAGGTGACAATTGTCATAAGCACAAACAGGTACTACAAGGTGACACAGCCACACAGACTCTGACAGTTACATATGTGGTGCCATAGACTGAATGTCTGTGTCCCCCCAAAATTCCTATGTTGAAGCCCTAACTCCCGACCAAGGCGATGGCATTAGAAGGTGGGTCTTGGGGAGGTGATTAAGTCATGAGGGTGGAGCCCTCACGAATAGGATTAGTGACTTATAAAATGGACCCCAGGGACTCCCCTGGTGGCGCAGTGGTTAAGAATCCGCCTGCCAATGCGGCGGACACGGGTTTGAGCCCTGATCCCACATGCCGCAGAACAACGAAGCCCGTGAGCCACAACTACTGAAGCCTGAGCACCACAACTACTGAAGCCCGTGTGCCTAGAGCCCATGCTCCACAAGAGAAGCCACCACAGTGAAAAGCCAGGGCACCACAATGAAGACCCAACGCAGCCAAAAAATAAGTTAAATAAATATATTAATTTAAATAAATCAATACAAAAATAAAATGGACCCCAGAGATCTCGCTCACCCCTTCCACCATATGAGGACACAGCCAGAAGACTGAACTTTGGTTATGTAACAGAAGGTGGGGCTCTCACCAGACACTGGATCTGCCAGCACCTTGAACTTGGACTTCTAGCCTGAAGAACTGTGAGAAATAAGTGTCTGTGGTTTCTAAGCCACCCAGGCATTGGCATTCTGTTACAGCAGCGCGAATGGACTAAGACACACGCTGACTGACATGGCCCATAGGCCCCGTACGGCCACAGCCCTTGAGAGGTGAAACGACCACTTCACCCTCCTCTGGTGTAGAGACTAGGCTTGGAAGGGTGAGACCTCTTAGACTGACCCAGGGGCCAGTCCAAGTGTCACAGATAGGACAGGGGATACCCAGGCACAGGGCCAATGACTAGATGAGCTGATAGTCACAAACCCCAACCCGGCAGCATACAGGATGGCCACACACACCTGATGACCACATAAGCCCTGACACTTCACATTCTCAGCCCCACACGTCCAAGCAGGAGTGCTCAGACAGTGATCCACAAGTACCAGGACAGACACATGCCTGCAGGGGTGTAAACACCCACACATATATCTGAACAGCCACCAGCGTTTGGACAACGCATAGCCCAGCAAAACTCACCAGTCCTGTCAACGTGCAAAAAAACACACTGACAATTTAAAATGCAGTTGGAGGACTTCCCTGGTGGTCCAGTGGTTAAGACTCTGTGATTCCACTGCAGGGGGCATGGGTTCCATCACTGGCCGGGGAACTAAGATCCCGCATGCCCCGTGGTGCGGCCAAACCACCACCACCAACAAAACCAAACAAAACACACTCACCAGAGTAGTGACACAGCTGCATGCCAAATGGGCTGTTAAACATCCAGACGTGCATGGTGACAGTCCCAAACCCAGGCACTCTCAGCATGACACACCATCCATGCTGTCACAGGTGCCCTTTCTCCACCCATAACCCCTGGTTGCACACATGCACACATCGCACACACACCCACATGAGCACCCACTGACGTGAACGCATGCACAATGCTGTATGAGCAAATCCTTGCACATGTACACGCATGCACACACAGACACGCGTGTGCACACTAGACACGAATGCTCCCACACACGTGCATGCACACCCACCCACACTCATGTGCGCACACGGGCACACAGACATGTACACACTGAAACATGGATGCTTGAACACACATGTGCACTCATATACATGGGTGAACACACAGGCCTTCACACCCTAAGACACACATGCACACACTAAGACACTGACATGCACACACCTCATTCAAACCCCACAGTCCCCAGAGCTCACACTGCCCAGCTCAGTCACCACCACGCAGCCCACCCACCCTTCCCCGGCACTCACAGCAGGGGTCCGTGGATACCATCCTGGATACTCATCACCAGCCGTGGAGGAGCCACCTCGTGGCATAGGTAGTGGCTTGAGTCGGCCGTCAGGCGGAAGTAGCCATCCACCAGTGACACCAAGGACAGGGCCGCAGCCCGGGAAGGCAGGGTCAACTCCTGCAGGCCGGGGGGCGGTGGTGGGGAGGACAACATCAGGCAGATGTCACAGGCCAGAGGCTCCCACCGCCCCCCAACCCTCCCCGCAAGGCTAGCCCGGCCCCCCGGCCCGGGCCCCACCAGGCACTTGTTGTCCTGACAATGAATGCTGACGCGGCGTTCTTTCAGCACCACGTGGGTGATGTCCTGGAAGTCGCAGAAGTAGGCCCATGGGGCCTCCTGAGGTCTGTGCACTGGCTGGTTGCCCACCTCCTGGGCCTTGGCTTTCTTCCCAGATGGGCCAGCATGGGGCACCCTTCTGCCGCCACCACCACCATCACTGGGAGTCTGGAAACCAGCACGTGGGGCAGGTGAATGGAGCAGGGCAGTGCCTGTTTAGTCCCACTGCACTTTTCCCCGGGGGAGAGGCGGGAGCTGGAGGGACCAGGCATCCCCCCCATCAACCCTAGTGTCACAGGCTGGACAGGAGACCCACCCAGAGAGATACACATGCCAGAAACTGGAACTTCAGGGAGAGTAGAATGGAGGTTCCTCACCCTCTCGGCCCCAGATGCCAGACCCCAGAAATCAGGTCCCCAGGGGGGCAGGCAGAGGACACTCCCCAAGAAACAGACCCCCAGGGACTTCTCTGGCGGTCCAGTGGTTAAGACTCCACTCTTGCAATGCAAAGGGCATGGGTTCGATCCCTGGTCGGGGAACTAAGATCCCACATGCCATGCCGCGTGACCAAAAAAAAACAAAACAAAAAACCAAAACAAAACAAACAAAAGGAACAGACTCCCAGGCACAGACTGACACACCCCAGAGGCATGTGGGGGAAAACCACCTTCGGAGGCCAAGGCCAAGGCTGAGCAAGGGCGCACCACCCCCAGCTGCCCTGGACTGCTAGATGGAAGGGGCGCCCCACTCACCTCTGCCTGTACCAGCCGCCACTGGATGCCGTCGGTGCCCGACACCAGCACCTCGTGGGTGGGGGGTCCTGCGGCAGACTCGGGCCCGGGGTCGGGAGGGGCCTGTCCACCATCCCGGATGTAGCAGGGCTCCCCCTCGGCCTGGGCCAGTAGCTCCAGGTGGCACACGGGCACGCGCTCTGTGCCGAAGCGGGGCGCCAGCCGCTCGAGTGTGGCCAGGTACTTCACCATGACAACCTGCTGGGAGAGGCAGCCCGGCTGGAAGGCCCGCAGGAACTTGCGGAAGATGCTCCGCAGGCGCAGCCGCGTCAGAGCATTGTGCTGCCGGATCTGCCGCCGGAAGGAGCGTGGGATGCAGTCCTTGAAGCTGTGGGGACGACCAGGAGGGGCCAGTCAGGGGCCGGGATTGCAGGCCTAGCTGGGTGACGTGGGGCAAGTGGCTTCATCTCTCTGAACCTCAGCTGCCTCGTCTAGAAAACAGACAGGCTGCAACCTACATGGCCATCGACAGATGAATGGATAAAGATGCGGTACACATATACAATGGAATACTACTCAACCATTAAAAAGAATGAAATAATGCCATCTGCAGCAACATGGATGCAACTAGAGATTGTCATACTGAGTGAAGTAAGTCAGGAGGAGAAAGACAAATATCATATGATATCACTTATATGTGGAATCTAAAATATGACACAATGAACCTATCTACAAAACAGGAACAGAATCACAGACATAGAGAATAGACTCTAGTTGCCAAGGGGGAGGAGGTTGGGGGACAGATGGAGTGGGAAGCTGGGGTTAGCAGATGTAAGCTTTTATGCATAGAATGGATCAACAACAAGGTCCTACTGTATAGCACAGAGAACTATATTCAATGTCCTATGATAAACCATAATGGAAAAGAGGATGAAAAAAACAAGAATGTATATATATGTATAACTGAATCACTTTGCTGTATAGCAGAAATTGACACAACATTGTAAATCAGCTATATTTCAATTTAAAAAATATTAGGGGGGGCTTCCCTGGTATCACAGTGGTTAAGAATCCGCCTGCCAATGCAGGGGACACGGGTTCGAGCCCTGGTCCGGGAAGATCCCACATGCCTCGGAGCAACTAAGCCTTTGCGCCACAACTACTGAGCCTGTGCTCTAGAGCCCGCAAGCCACAACTACTGAGCCCATGCGCCACAAGTACTGAAGCGCACATGCCTAGAGCCCGTGCTCTGCACAAGAGAAGCCACCACAATGAGAAGCCCGCACACCTCACTAAAGAGTAGCCCCCGCTCGCCACAACTAGAGAAAGCCCGCACGCAGCAACGAAGACCCAGTGCGGCCAAAAATTTTAAACATAAAAATAAAAAATATTAAAACTGAAAAAACCCCCAAAACAATAAAAAAACAGGCAGGCTGTCATGAAGGTGGACAGAGAATGCTATAAAGGGCCAGCACAGGGAGGCCAGGTGGTGTCTGGGCCCAGGGCCCAGGACTTTGGAGGAGACTATGGGTCGGAAATCCCAGCTCTTGGGCAACTTCCTTAAGCTCTAAAGGGCTCTGTCTTTTCATCTGTAAAATGGGATCAAATAGTGCCCACTTCTAGGGCTGATGAGAGAATCAGGACTATTGATTGGCAAAAATAAGGACTATGTGAGTGTTGGCCATTATTATTATTGGAGAAGTCGCTATTGTTTTGATCATTAATATGATTATCAATAAAAGGCACAGCTCTGGGAAGCCTCTCTGCTCTTCACAAAGCCATACCCTTCACCCCTTCTCCTGCCCTGCACTTGCGCACCAGCATAGCCCACTTAGATGAGATTTCCAAGCCTCATCCTCCATGTCCCAAGCCACCTCTTCCAACCTTTGAATACAAAGATCCTAAAGGTCAAGGTTCTAGCTGCCTTCTGCCCCCACTTCCAAGCTTTCCAGGGCTCCCTAGTGCTCTCAGGGAAAAAGGTTCCCTGACTAGTGCCTGGCCGTCTCCTGCACTTGGGGAATCACATTCCGAGTTCAGTTCCCCTGGAAACTAGGCCTTTGCCACCTCCTGCCTCTGGGCCTTTGTATATGCTGTTCCCTCTCCCTCGAATGCTTGGCCAAAGCAACCCACATCTGGATAAAGCCAACTCAACCTTCAGGTCTTAGCAGAAATCACCTCCCCCCAGGAGCATCCTCTGATCTCCAGGCTGGATAGTGTCCCTCCTCTGGGCTTCCCACCATCCTGGGCTTCACTGTCACAGCCCTAGTCCTCCAGTGATAACATGACAGGGATTGAAAACTGCAAGTCCTGGGAAATTCCCTGGCGGTCCAGTGGTTACGACTCGGCGTGGGTTCAATCCCTGGTTGGGGAACTAAGATCCCATAAGCTGTGTGGTGTGGCCAAAAAAGAACTGCAGGTCCTGAAAGACCCATTTCTCTTGCTGCCTCTTCCAGGCAGTGTGCCCTGATTGCCCCAGCCCTCACTGCAGTGGAGGCTAGCAGCTCTCCAGACTGCTGCCTCCTTTTTTCCCTTGAATTCTAGGGAGTCCTCCAAGCTCACCCTGCTCCAGCCACACTTCCTCCACCACATATCAAGCATGGTACAATCTTAGGGCCTTTGCACTGGCTGATCCCTAGGTGGAGAATTCTCTTCTCCCAAATACCCACCTGGCTCCCTCCTTCACTTCCTTCAGATTTTTGAATTTGAATGTCACCTTCTCAGTGAGGAATTCCCTGATGACCCAGTTTTTTTTTTTAATTTAATTAATTTATTTTTTATACAGCAGGTTCTTATGATGACCCAGTTTTAAACTGTACGCCCCTCATTCCCTGACACACCCCTTCTTCCTCTTTTCCTGCTTAATTTTTTCCCATTGCACTTATCATCGCCTAAAACACTATACATTTTTGTATTTTGTTTATTGCCTGTCTCCGTCATCAGATGTGACCTCCAGGAGGGCAGGGATTTTTGTCTGTCCTATTGACTGTTGTGTCCCCAACACCCAAAACTAGTACCAGGGACTTCCTTGGCTGTCCAGTGGTTAGGGCTCAGTGCTTTCACTGCCAGGGCCCTGGGTTCAATCCCTGGTCAGGGAACTGAGATCCTACAAGACGCTCAGCACGGCCAGAAGAAAAAAAAAACTAGTACAAGCATACAGTAGGAGCTCGATAAATGTTTGTTGAATGAATGAAGGCATGACAGTATGCAAGGTCTACCCTGGCCACCAGATGCCTGGGCATGTCCACCCACCTATGCAGTGTTCCCGCCTCATTCTCAGATACCTGATCTTCTTGGCCACCTTCTCAAGGGGGACACCATGGCAGAGAGCGAGGTGGCAGAGGTGCAAAAAGGCCATGCCCAGGCTCTCGTTCTGAAAGTGGTGGATCTCCTCCTCGCTTGACAGCTCCCACAGCGGTGCCACATCATTTACAAACTCATGCTTGCCCTAGGGATGGGGAATCAGGCAGAAAGGGAGGCATGAGAACCTGTTCAGTCCCCAGCTTCTGGTCACTTTGGGGAAGGGAAGGACCCCACATGTATGCCTCCTCTGCCCAACCCTATGCCTGTGGCAGACACCACTAACTGACCACAGCACTTACCCCTACAACCCTAAGAGTCTCAAAACCCTTTGGTTCAGGCAGCCAAAGGATCCCAGATGGCATGAGTTGAAACCTACTAGCTATAGCAAATTGGGAGGGAAGTGAGGACTCCTCATTTGCAACCTCCCTCACAAACAGTCTCACCTCCCCAGCCCTGCTCACACCTGCTCAAAGAGGTACTCAAAGGAGGCGGGGTCCAGGAGTTGCACCCCCTGCTCGGCCTGTTCTGAGGAAGGCTCGGACCCTGGGGGACCGCAGCGGTACACAGCCGGCTCCTGGGGATGCATGCCATGCCAGTTCCGGAAATAAAACCTGCAGGAAGGGAGGGGGCACAGCTGGGGTTTAGCACAGATTCAGACGAGGTCCACGAAGGTGGGGACAGGGGAGGGAGAGGACAGAACGAAAGCCTTCCAAGGGGACTTCACCCACCTCATGCGGAAGTACAGCATCAGGCTCGAGTCTCTGGACATATCCAGGATGTGGTTTGGAGGCAGCCAGACCTGGGCCTGGACATCGAAGAGGGCAAAAAGATTGAAGCAGGGTGGAGTGATGCCTGGACAGGGGAGAAGTGAGTCAGGAGTCAGTGCCTGCTGCCGTTAGCCCTGTGGACCCCCAGACCCACTGTCTCCCTTCACAATCCCTCCCTGGGCCTCCTGCCTTGCCAACAGAGGACAATGCAATATGTAAACCATCCTGTGGCCTCACAGGAAAACTACATTTCCCAGCCTCCCTTGCAGCTAGGATGGAGACATTGGGCTGGTTTTCGGCCTGTGGGATGTGGGCATAAGGGAGTACATTTTTCCAGGCCTAGAAATAAACTTTCCTGCCATCTTCGCTGCCCCAGGGATGTTGGAAACCCCTTATGCCTAGTGGTGAAGCTATAAGATAGAGGCGAACCATCTGACCTGCATTAGATTTTAGGTACATTTTCATTGTCTTAACCCAGTAGAATTGGGGGGGCTGCTTGTTACTACAGCAAAACCTATCATAGCCTGACTAACACAGCTCTACAGACTGCTGGCACTTTGCCTGGTCTCTCTCTGAACTCCAGACCCAGAGAAATATCCAACTACCCCTTGGCTGTCTTCCTCTAGACATCTCGGGCCCCCTGAGATGTGCCTTGTTCCAAACAGATCTCATCTGAGGTCCCCAAACCTGCCCCCTCTCTGCCGGACCTCATCCTTCTCCTCAACTTGTCCCACCCCCTCCACATCAGATTGGTCACAAGTCCTGTACTTTCTGCATCCTCCATCTCTCTGGGATCTACCCACTTCCTTCAAATCCAAAACTCAGCCCTAGTTCAGCCTCCAAACTTACCGTCATTCCCCACACTGGCTGCCCAAGCATCTATTTTTTATACACATCACTTAAAAATTGCATCTAATAGCTCAGAATTATTTATTTATTTTTTAAATTTTAATTAAAATTTTTCTTTCTTTCTTTCTTTCTTTGTTTTGGCTGCGCCAGGTCTTAGGTGTGGCATGAGGGATCTTTAGTTGTGGCATGCAGACTCCTTAGTTGCAGCATGCATGCAGGATCTAGTTCCCCGACCAGGGATCAAACCCAGGCCCCCTGCACTGGGAGCACAGAGTCTTACTCACTGGACCACCAGGGAAGTCCTTCAGAATAATTTATAATCACCTAAGTACCAGCCACGAGGAAAAGAATAAAACCTGGCAAGTACAACTGAAGCTCCCACCTACATCCACCTCCTCTCCCCTCCCACAAAGAGGTAACTATACTCCTGAACTAGAGTTTATCATTTTCATATTCTCTATCACCTTTGAATGTTATAAATTCAAATGCAGTATTATACCATAGGTGTCCTGCAATTTGCTTTTTTATGCTACGATAGGTTTTAAGCTTCACACGTGATATATGTAACTTTGGTTAAATTCCTTTTTCCTGGCTGTATAGTATTCCAGTGTTCAACCATACTGCAACTGACTTGTGCATTCTGCTATACGCAGACTTTGAAATGGTCTCCTATTTTCACTAAGATAAATGAAGCCACTCTGAACATTCCCGTGTACATCTCCTGGAACACATGAGCTGAGTGTCTATAGAGTGCATATCTAGGAGTGGAACTGTGTGCCCTCAGGGAATGTACGTTTCAACCATGTTAGACGATGCCAAATTGCTCTCCAAAATCATTGCATCCGGGAATCCCCTGGTGGTCCAGTGGTTAGTACTCGGTGCTTTCACTGCCGAGGGCCTGGATTTAATCCCTAGTCAGGGAACTAAGATTCCACAAGCCGCATGGCGTGGCCAAAAAAAAAAAAAAGAAAAGAAAAGAATCATTGCATCCAAGTGTACTGCCCCCCAAAGAAGGAGCATGCCTCCCTATGAGACAACTTCCTAAAGAACCAATCTGTTTCACTCTCTGGCTTAAAACTTCCATTGCTCCCCTTTGCCCCGTGAGAAAGCCCAACGCCCTCGGCACTGAATAACCATGACCTGGACCCAGACAATTATGTTCTGCTTTCAATTCCTACTTCCCCTTCCAAATTCTTGAAAACTGTGCTCCAGTTACGCTTAAGATCTTTTCTTCCTCAAAAAGATCAGGTTCTCTGGGTCCTTGGCCAGGCATGTTTCACACCACCCAGAAAACCAGTACTTATTTAAGAATCTGCCATTGATGGGAAAGTACAAGGTGTTATAGAAATCTACCAGAAGGCCCCCATCCAGCTGTGGGACAGGGGGTTTGAGAGGACGTCCTGGAGGAAAGGGCACGTAAGCAAAGTCCCCTTGGAGAGACCTCCTCCTCCTCCGGCAGGAGAAACTAACTTTCAAGCACATGTGCTGCAGGCTCTGTCAACCATTCCATGCTTCACTACTGTTCCTGGGGAAAACTTTAAGCCCTAAACTCCTCCCTCTGGGGTTTAAAACACCGTAAGATCTGAACCTGGCTGACTTCTGCCCCATCACCTCCTACTTGGAGGTCCTTACTCCCGCCCTCACCCGCCACAGTCTGCTCCCCCTACAGCAGCCAGAGATCATCTGTGACATTTGCGTCCAATTACGTTCCTCCTTCACTCACAGTCCTCTGTGGCTCCCACCTCACTTGGAGTAAAATCCAAAGTCCTCCCTGAGGCCCAAGAGGCCCTGTACAACCTGTGCCATCACCTGCTTGCCCTCACCTATTCCTGTCTCCCCTTCACTCACTCGGCTACAGCCACGCCGGCCTCCTCACTGTTGCTGGCACGTTCCCACCTCAGGGCCTTTGCACTTGCTGTTCCCGCTGCCTGGCGCCATCTTCCCCAAGATATACCTGTGGCTCAGTCCTTTATCTCCTCAAGTTTTAAATCTTTTACCATGATCTCTGGCCTCCTATACAGTTTTCTTATTTATTGTGTTTCTTGTTGATCCCTATTAGAATATCAGCTCTACAAATGTAGTAACTGGGGGCTGGCACACACTAGGTGCTCACTCAATGTCCTCTGAATGAATGGGCAGACGATTGGATGGATGAGGCCCAGTGGCTGCCAGCACCTCCACCCCGCCGTGGGGCTGATGCCCGGGACTCACCGACTTTGTGTGCAATGTGGAGGCAGACCTCCTCCGCAGTTAGTGTGGCCTCGCTGAAGGTGACCCAGGGCTCCCCGCCACCGGGGCCGGCCCAGTGCAGAAGCACCTTCAGGCCTCCTCTGGTGGCCATGGGCTGAGCTCCATTCCCATCGGGCTTTCTGCCCCTGGTGGTGGCCCCCCATTGGCACAGAGGCATGCTCTTGACAGCTGGCTTGCCTGGGAAGGAACATCCCGTCAGCCCCAGGCCTCAGCCTGGAGGCCCCTTTGAGCACCTCAACCTTCCAACCATCCAGACTGAGGCTTGGGGGGAAGATTCTGGACCCCTGCTCGTTGTGCAAACTTAGACACCCAATTCCCCTTCCTGAGCCCCAGTTTCCACAACCGTTTGATGGAGTTGGGGTATGTGTCCCCACCTACCAGATCAGTCATGAACAATAACACCACCAAACCCCTTTATTGGACAAATTCACCAATATAAAAATCTGCTCTGTCCAATAAAAAAATTTTTTTTTTAAATCTGCTCTGAACCCACCTTTCCAAAATAACCAGGAAGACAGGGGTGGCCAGACAGACCTGGGGGTGAATCCTGTGTCGACTCAGACGAGTCACTTAGCCATGCTGGGCCTCAGTTTCCCCATCTGGAAAATGGAGATGCTGAGAGTGCTGCCATGAAGAGATGGTTGTGAAGTTTCTACATTCTTTTTTTTTTTAACTTTTAAACTAGAGTTGTAAGTGAATTATGCACCACTGTCACCATATTACAGATAGGTAAGAACTTACTATTGCCATTTTGTTGTTTTCTCGTTGTTTTGTAGATCCATTGTTCCTTGTTTCTTATCCTGCTGTCTTTCTTTGGGTTTGGATGTAATTACTATAAGATTTTTCCTTTGTGGTTACCCTAAGTTTAATGTTATAAGTTTAAGCCATTTTATGAGCCTTACATGACATACCTCACACTCGTAACACCCTATTTGAAGCTAATAACAGCTTCACTTCAACAGGACTGGTAAACATTATACTCTTCATTCTCCTCCACATATTTTGATTACTGTTGCTACACTTTACATGTTTTTTATATTGTGTAACTAAAACAGATTATTGTATTACGGTTATTTTTTCTACATCCTTTCTTTTTTGTAACTAGAGGTGTAGCTCAATTAGGTTGTGACGTTTCAACACAATTCTGCACGTCACATGTCCAGTACCTTGATACAGGCGTGAAAAAATAACAAATATGATAAAAACAAGAACGAAGTCATTATTGGTTTTATCATCATAATCCTTTTTCTCTTTCAAGCCGAGATTCCTGCATACCACATCTACCCCCACCAGCGACCCCAGTCCCTGCTGGCTCCCTGAGCGGAGAAGGGGCTGTGTTCAGCTCTTTCCCCAACAATCTGGAACTTTTCAAGAGCCAGGTCCAGGGCTCAGGCCTGCTGAGGTCTCCAGTATTTGCAGGGAGGGGCTGTCAGCGATTCGACCGATGTTACTGATTTAAGACAGTGATGGGGTTGTAATAGCACAATGTCGGAGTCGTCAAGAATCAACTCCTCTCTGAACCAGTTTCCTCATTTAGAAAATGGGCATAAAACCGTCTCTCTCTCAAAGGGTTGTTGGGAGGATTCAGTGAGGTGAGACAGGGAAAGGGCTCCGCACCGGGCCTGGCGTGCAATAAGTGCTTGATAAATGTTCGCTATTATTATCTTATTAACGTTCGAGATAAGATCTTGGGGATGGGGTTTTGTAGGTGCCCATCTCCTCCTTCCTCGTCCCCATTGGGCCCAGACCCAGCTTTGAAGATGAGGTCTGGGTGAGGTCCGCAGCCCCCGCCCCGCAACAGAAATCTCCAAACCCTGCTGGCAGGGGCGGGAACCGCGACGTGTACCCACCGGGCATCAATCAGTCCCAAGGCAGTGTGGGGGCTTCTACCCATCTCCTGCAAAGGGCAGTCCCGCCGGCCGCATCCTTCTTGATGACCTCCCGGGCGCGCCCCCTCCCGCCCCCCTCCAGACTCACCCTTTCCGGGGAACTCCGGCTCGAACCTAGGACCCCGCCCCGCCCCGCCCCGCCCCGCCCAGCAGCCAGGGTCAGCCGCCGCTTGATCGCCGCTGGGACACCCCCTCCCATTGGCTGCCTGAAACGGGCACACTCATTGGCGGCCGCTCTGCTCCGCCCCCTCGCTGCCACGGCGGCGCTCCCATTGGTGCGGGCTTCATGTTTTGCTCAGCATTGGGCGGGTGTGTGAGGTCTTGCCGGGGCAAGGCTGCTTGCATTACCCACGCGGGCGGTGGGCCTAAGTCAGGCTTCCGTACCTGACCTTGGTGCAAGCCCAGGTCCTCAGCTCGGCAGTCTTTCAGTCCTCCAACTCCCCTGCCATATGGCCCTACATCTGTCCTGCCTTTCGTCCCTGTCTGCCTGGCCAGCCCTGCTTCATGGCCTGAGACCCCCCTTCCTCAACGGGAGGCATTTCCGGCCCACCAGCTCACATCCCTTTTCTGATCACCTGTAGCCCTGTCCTCTGAGGGCCCCTTGCCCTCAAGGTAGCAGCTTGGACGTCCCACCTGATCCGAGTTCTGATGCCTACACAGCAGGTCGCTGCCATTTTACAGAAAAGCCTATGCGCTGAGCGTTTTCCACGCGTTATCTCATTTGATGCTAGCAGTAGTTCCTCTGGACACTATTATCCCCATTTCTCAGAGAAAGAAACTGAGGTCCAGAGAGATGACAGACTCTCTCCTTGACCAAACTGTAGTTTTCTGAACCTTCTCGACTACTCAACCTTGGCCGCAGTCCTGTCTTTGACCTGCACAGTACAGTCTAAGCAAAGAATCCTTCTAAGTCATCCCCCCAACCCTTGATATCTGATCAAGTTTCTCATTCCCCACCATTGATGTATACATCCTTGGCCTTTAGCAAGAATCCCCCTACCCTCGATGTCTCCATGGACCTCATCACTCTGCTCTGGCTGTCAATCCCCAGCTGTCTTAGCTGCATTCAGAGTTGAGCCCAATGCTCTCCCCGTTTGCAATCCGCCTATTGCAGTAGTCCTGAATAAAGTCTTCCTTACTGTTCTGTGAATGAAAAATATTGCCTGCCATATCAATAAACAAAGGATGTTGTAGCCATCAAGCCATCACATTACAGCCCCCCAGATGGTGACCCTGGAGGGAACTCAAGATAGAAACAGGATGCCCACTATCAAGCTATCAGCCACAGCACACCACACCCCCCAACCCCTGCAATGATGCACCCTGAGGAGACTCAGGATGAGAAAGCCCAGGATACTGGCCCTAGATAGCTGAGGTGCGTATCAAAGGAACGACTTCAGTGAGCCCAGACTCTTGCATCTTCCCATACACAGAAAAGTACTAAATTCCTTAACTTGAGATAGCTGGTTTTCTTTAATTAACAATAATCTTTTGATGTTCCGACTACCTGGTCTTTGATGCAAAAACTCCTGTATATCCTGGATCCCCACTTGCCTCTTCAGAGCAATCTCTGAGTTATCTGAGATGCTGTGTCCCAGACTTAATTCTCAGTTTTGTCTGCTGAATAAAATATAACTCCCAACTTTTAGGTCATGCTTTTGTTTCTTTTCAGTCGACAGTTTTTAACAAGTGTCAGAGTAATTTTTTTCTTTAACAGAGGCTGAGTAACTTTCCCAGCACAAAAGAGCAGAACTAGGTTTATTTCTGTGATGCCTTTTTTTTTTTTTTTTTTGCGGTATGCAGGCCTCCCACTGTTGTGGCCTCTCTTGTTGCGGAGCACAGGCTCCGAACGCGCAGGCTCAGCAGCCATGGCTTACAGGCCCAGCTGCTCCGTGGCATGTGGGATCTTCCCGGACTGGGGCTCAAACCCGTGTCCTCTGCATTGGCAGGCAGACTCTCAACCACTGCGCCACCGGGGAAGCCCCCAGGCTTATTTCTGAAGGTGGAGCCATAACTGCTGTGGCCAAGGGCATGTGGCTACTCATCTCAGTCTGAGAAAATGTGGGGAAAAACAGACTGTTCTTCACAGGGCAGCTATGGAGATTCAATGTGTAGTTGTAGATAGAGACTTAGCCTAGCACCTGGAGGGTAGTGAGTGCTAGGAACTTGGGAACTGGGGAATCAGCAGTGATGCATCCTGACAAGGGAATAATTTGCAACTGGGGAAAAAAAAAAAAAAAGAGGAGCTCTGTACTGATATGGAGACATCTCCAGAGTGTCTGTATAATTCATAACAGAGAATGAAATATATAGAATAAACAGAACGTGTTATATTTCCCTGTGCCTGCTCAGCCCACCTATGGGAAGACTCAAGAGAAATATAGAAATATTGGTTAGCTCAAGGAAAAAAATTTCAGAGAATCTCAGGAAAAAAAATCTCACATTTGTCTCACACCAACCTTTGGTTCATCAGCAAAATCTCACCCCTCTTGGTCCAGCCCCCATCATCATTTGCCTGGACCAATGCAGTTGCTTCTATCCTGGTCTGAGTCTCCCCCCCTTGCCCCTGCCCACCCCCACCTCCTTGTCTATCCTCCCTGCATCACCCACAGGGCATCTGTGAGCATCTGGGCACAATCTCCTATCCTTTATAGATATGGGTGATCGGGCCCAGAGCCTGATTGTGTGGGTTACAGAATTGTAAAACCATTTAAATGCTCAGGGTCTCTTATGCTAAGGTAAGGGCACTGACTGGAGAGGTTTGGAATGGAAATATTGGGCAGACACAGATGAGCCTGAGAACTTTGACCCCATCAATACACTTGTCTGAAGGAGTTGGCCCTTCTACGTGTGATATTGTGATATAACAAGAAATATATATTTGGTCTTCATCCCTGATTCCCGGCACAGAACTTCGAAAACTCTTGAAACTTGTTGAGTGAAAGAGATGATAGCATCATGTTTCGTTATAGTATTTGGGTTTAGTTCCTGGTTCCTGGCTCAGAGCTCCTAAAACCCTTGGAATTTCCTGAATGACAGAGGTGAGAGGTGAGAAAAACATGTTTTGTTTTTCGGAATAAGCCTGAGCAACCATACCCGAGTTTATGCGAATGAGGTGACTCATGGATGGACCTGGAGATTGTCAAACCAAGTGAAGTAAGTCAGAAAGAAAAAGACAAATATCATAGGATATCACTTATATGAGGAATCTAAAAAAAATGATACAAATAAACTTATTTACAAAACAGAAACAGACTTAGAGAACGGA